GTGACTTTGCAACAATAACTCTCATCCATACACCGGAACAAACTAAATCTTTGGCAACATCCTTTGCCCCACGACGTGGTGTCCGACGGTTTGGCCGTACCGGGATTCATTATGGTCGCAGGAAGTGTACCTAATAATTTTCTTGTAAGTATTGTTTCTTAAGATTATTATTATTTTTTTTTTTTAATAAGTTATGAAATCGCATAGTATTTCCATAGAAACTCGACGATATCGCGTATAGCCATTAAATATTTATTGGTTTCTATATAATAGTATATACTTTATAGTATATAATGTACACTATTAAGTATAAGTAACTATAAAAGTTAAAACCGGAAGTTTGCGGTGTTCGGTTGAAAGTTATAGCGGAGATGAAAACTCATACTTGACTTCTGAACGGTATAACACCGCATTATAATATAGACATTATAATTTTATACATACACCACACTCCATTCGCATCGCAACTCCGACCATTAGGTTTGCGCGTATCGCAGCTATTATGGTAGATTATTGCTATAATGTTTGATACACACTTATACTTTGGAAATGTCAAAATCATTATGCTACGCCAAAATAAATCATAATATAACTTGTAGAAGTAAAATGATTGATGGTCCATCTTTAGCCACATAAATACAATATTCAAAGTGTTTTTTCCATTATCAACTTTATGTACTATATTGTCTTTAAATCAATGGGAAAAAAATACAGTTTGAATAATATTTCGACATTTTCAATAAATTGTAAGTTATTCTAACGTTGAATTTTATAATATTTAAAGTTTAAATTTGAAACATTTATGCTGTATTTACACCATACTTACACATATGTTGTTACTTTTACTTGAATAGATTGACTGGACGCCCATTTGAATACTCCACTCAAGCTTCAGTAATTATTTATTTTATTTTCTGCCAAAAATATTATGCAAACAAATAAAGTGATGAAAAGTGAGAACTCGTGGGTTATGGGTAACTTTTACAAAATTGTATAATGTAGTGTAAAATGAAAACTTCATTTTCAAGTAATTTTGTGGATGATGTTCATTATAATTTTCTTCAGTATTTTTTTAAAAAATACATGGAAAATTATTAAACAAATGTAGATAGAAAAATGTCTCATTGACAACTAACATTGAATGATAAAAAACTTGATTTTTAAAAAAATGTCACTTGTACCATATTTTGACTTTCATAACTTTAAATTTACTCAACACTGCGCAATAATTAGCATTAAATATTATCTTTTTTTTTTTAATGAAATTTCATCACATTCTAAGAACATATTTTTTGACGGGTGAGAATTTATATTCACAGCAAACATTTTCTAGGGCCTAGGGGCCTCTACAGTCTACACATACGTATTTTTGGTCGAAAACAACTCAACTCAACAATTCTACTTCAAACTTACTGTTCCTAAAAATACTCCAATTTAAGTTTTGAAAAAATATTTGATTTCTTCATAACATTTTCAAAGCATCGATCGTGGCATAATTTAAAAGAATTTTTTTTGTTAATTAAATATGTCAGTTTAAAAAAGTAATTCTTGTTTTTTACATTAAAATAATAAATTAGGTGAAAATAATTTTAAATCTGTGCCACGGCCGATACCTAGAAAATGTTATGAAAAATTCAAATGTTTGTTTAAAACTTTAATTGGAGTATTTTTAGGTAATTTCTGTAGTAACATATGTCTTTGTAAAAAAATATATCCCATATGCGTTGTAGGTAAATGTAGAACAAAAAATTAAATAATACGCTTATAAAATGTTTGAACGGGAAATAAAATATTAAAAACACTTATATGTTCCAATAATTTGTATTGACATTAAATAAATAATGACGTATATATCTACTAATAACATTTTCCAACAAATCTTATTAACAAAAACAAACAAATTATTTAAAAACTAAATATTTCAAATAGCGTCACCATCGAAAATTGAGTTGACTATAAATTCGTAAACACTATTTATTCAGTAAACAATTTTCAAGGTAGACTTCAACTCATCCGTAACTTGCCGAGGTTCAGCGCAGGCACCGACCATTTGATACACTAGGGGTCAGGGGATGTGGGATACGGGGATTGGGGAATCGATAGAGGTATTTTACATCATACTTGGACCGCGGGTCTTAGCAAACTGGCAATCTTTACACGGCCAAGCCGTGATAATTCGATTTTACTAGATAACGATGGCCGGCTAGAAAGGAACCAAGTCGGCCAATAGTTAGCGCGGCCGTGCCAATCGCCGACGAACCGTGTTCGCCCATTGTGTAAAACACACCGGCTCGCTTATTCAATATTATCCGCCGTTAATTATTTATTTACTACCCGCGGCATTGTCGGTGCTCATCACTGTTACACGGAAACCTACCCCATTGAAACATCAAAATAAAATCCGATGATAATCCGTCAAATCGTAGCAAACCGATTCACCGCGGGGCGCCATCGACGGTGGCGGCGTACGCATTGTGTTTCGGAGTCCGTACATAATATAATGTAGAAATACACATAATAATAATAATAATGTATATAAACGGTAGTGTATAGGAGCGAAACTGCTCTTTAATCGGATCACGGAGCACAGAAGCAACAGAAAAAAAAACTGGGTCCATATTATTCGACTAAGGGTGCGGGGACGAGCTGGGAGTGTGTACAGCGTAGTAGGTACTGTATCAATGGTGCGGGGTTGGTTTTGAATCCTCTCTCCCGTGTTTTTTACCCTTAAAAAAAACCCCCCACGCTTGGTTGGACTTTAATGTATCGTAATAATAATAATTGTTGTTGTTATGGATAGGATATACAAAGTGTAGTCGGAGAGTGGCTCCCGGGGTGGCCTTTTGTAATGATCGACGAGGAACACAGAGGCAGTGCAAAACAATGGAGGGCAGAGGAAAAAGAAAAAAAAATCAAAAATGACCCTTGGGTAACGCATTGTGTGCATGCAAGAGCCCAAGAGGGTTTCCTCTGCGTACGCGTGTTTCGTTTAATAAGGCTAGAAATTAAGTAGTCGGTGTGTATGTTGTTTTTTTTTTTTTTACTACGCAATAATTACAATAAAGGCGTTTTAGCTGGACATTTTTGAAAAATATGTTACATTAAACACATAATATTGTTATAAGCTATTAATATTATCCCGCGCCTAATGTATTGATTAGTATTATTATCTACAATAAAGTTAATGCTGTCTGCGCGTAAACGTTGAGCAATTTAATGCTTTTGATTTAATTGCATGTAAATTGTTTACTATGCATGTGCCACAGTGTGTGCTTAGAATGTTATAATAATGTCGGTTTAACTGAACATGAAACATGTAATACTTAATTATAGTGAATTATTAATAATTTAAAATCAACCAAAGAGTCCTAAAACTCGGAGTTGGGTAAATTAATGGGCAAAAGTTTTTTACACCACCACGTATAACACACACGTACATATTATGTATTATACATTTATAGCGTGTAAAATACGTATAAATCGAGTCGAAGCTAACATAGAATTTGAATTGCGTGAACAGAGAAAATCTAATTAAGCGCAGTATAAATCAGTACAGGAGATGTTAGCAAAGTTGGGACGAAGCAGCAATTGTTACATCTGAATGTGCATTTCATCACAATCAAATCCATTACAAAGTATCCTCAGATTCGCATCGGAGCACACATTTGAACGTGATTTTATTACTAACTCTAAATCATCGGTCTAGAAGAACTGAATAATAAACCTAAACTTGTATAGATAGGTACTTAATCTGGCTCGATGATAAGCTAACATAATAGTAGGAAAGTATTTTAAAACAATGAAATGTTTTTTTGTAAGATACTCGGTTTTAATAAAATATGCTGTTAAAGAGTCTAGCTATTATTTCTAATATTTGTATGTACTTCGTAGCGCACACGCATTCATTTTTTATTTGTAAGTAGGACAGTTTTTTTTTCTTACAACTTTAACATAAATCGTTGAATTTGAAAATGTTATAGATCGTGGAACACTTGTACACATAAAAAATTGTACAATTTGATTTTTGAAATCGAAAAAAGTACTCGATAAATTTGCACATATTTCATGTAGTAATAATTCTTATAGGCTTGTGATCCCTACCACCCGCCATCCTAATATGCCCCATCACCACTAAGCCCCGTCATCACTACCTACTGGCTTTTCTAATTTTGCATTTGTATTCAACCATTTGAAACACGCATTTTGCTACCAAGCGGATACAATATTAAATTTATGTGTAATGATAAATGTTTTAAGTTTTAATACGCGCATACAGGGTGATCATATTTTTATCGCGAATATCTCATGGGTTTAAGTAATAATTTTTTTTTTTTTTTAATTATCTTATTCTAAGATATCTCGATTTTCCACTATATTTTCATACTATTACAGGGTAAAAAATAACTTGGTTATAGTAAATCGTTGGAAATATTCTAGTTGAATCTACTTTAATATGGTTGTGCCAACTACATTATTTAAGTTGGAAATACCAATCTAGTTTAGTTGTTTTTGACTAGTTGGATTAACTAAACATTTAGTAGGGTTGACTATACTTTTTTTGTTTAATAACTATACTTAGACAAAGGTGGCTATGGTAGGAGTCAGCGGCTGGCGGAACTGAATCGAGACTCAGGTGGAAATCATGGCCACTAATGGTTTTTTTTATTACTTATATAGATCAGAAATCGGACATGAAACGAATTTCATTAAACCTAAAAAATTATAACATTACTCCTTAGGAATTGAGAAAACCCTACCAAAATTATATTATAAATATTATACAATTTTACGTTAAAAAAAATAAATTGTATGAAATATTCTTGAAAACAGTGAAAATGAGTGTACAAAGACTTAACAATAAGAAAGTGGGCGCGGGGTATTAAAGATGACACATAACCCAAATAAAAACGTTCTTAAACAACTGTTGTTTTCTGCAAAATGCAAATCACAATTTATTAGTTACAACATGAAACTTTTGTCATTTCTAAGCTATATTTCTTTATAGACGGTACTACGGTTATTAAAAAAAAAGGAAACTTTTAATATTCAATAATCATGGATTTGAAAAATATCATACTGTTTTTCTGCGTGACGTTTTACTTTTTACAATGTCAGGGTGCCCGACCAACAAGTGATCAAATGGTAAGTATAACGATCATCTAGTATATATGATTAATCTTTAATGCTGAGATTCTTAATATACATTTAATATAAATTTTAATGTTTCATTCTTATTGTAAAAATTATAGGACACGATTAAATCCTCGGTAACTTTATGGTTTTTGTTGCAAGATGGCATACACTTTGAAAAAATAAAAACTATATTTCGCCATGTAGCAGATATACTCAACATAAGATATGAGCCCTCCACTCTTAATAACTACGAAAAAAGTAATAAACAATAGAAAAATATTTAATTAATATGTTACATCAAATTATTAGATATATTTGAAGAACATTTAAACAATCAAGTGTGTCATTTATTAATTAAATAAAATATTTTTAAACTAAAAAATCATAACTCGCGAACGAAATAACAAAATTATAAATACGGTTTTTTTTTTAAAAATTAATAAATTTTACTAAAATTGTACAATTTATTACGTCATTTTTATAGCAGTAAAATAATTAATATTTTAAAACTAACAAATTAAAACTCGTGAACCGAAAAAAAATATATAAAAACGGAAACCTTTTTTCATAATGCACAAAAGCATATGTGATCATGTTTTTTTTTTACATTAATTAATTTTATAAAGATTGTAGAATTTATTATGACGTCGTTTTTCTTAAATTATTACAATAACCTCAATTCAAAAATAATTCACAATTCCTTTGTGGTTAAAAAATATCCCCATAGTTTAGTTGTTTAAAAAATGTATAATACTTTGTACTTTTAGTTAAACTTTCAAGGGACGATGTTGAAATCTTCACCCTAGCGTTTGTAGTTTCAGAACATGCGGCCCTATTGGTAAATACAAATTGTAATACTAAATTACGAACTAACAGGCTCGTTTAGTTGTTTGTGTGGAGATATTAGAAATATTAAAACTTTCAATTTTATTTAACAAGTACTTAGTTTTTCGAATTATAAAAAAATTCAGATTTATGCTTTTGTATACAAAATGTAAATTATATTTTAGTCAATTATTTTATGTTCTTACCGTTCACATTTTCGCAGCAAAGTGATTTTTTTCACTTTCAGTAACTTTCCCATTTTTTTTTTATATTTTCGGATCTCAAATGACAGTTTTTTTTCTTAAACCAAAAAATATATTCACACTTCCCAACAGAAATACTTTACGGTTTTATTAGTAAATGATTTTGCTACCGATTTTTTACACATAGTATTAATACTAAATATGGTATACGTGGCAGTCGTGATACGTGTAGTAACCGTGGTAGGTATGTGAAACATGTAATGTTTGGTAACCATGAAAATTATAATTATTACGCATACCACAGTTACCACTCAACTACAACTACAACTTTTTGATTGAATTAGTATTTTAAAATGGGACAACCGCTATAATATGTCTTGTAGTTAGCCATTTATATATATATGCACGTGGGTCAATTTTTGTTTATCTAAGCGTGTTTACGGAGAACTCGGTTTAAAATGTATACATTTTATGTAAAATTTTCTCAGCTTTCTCAAAAAAAATATTCAAAAAATATTACAATATTGGGCAACACAAAAACCCAAATTTTGATATAATAAACTTAAAATATATTATATATTTTAGAAAATGTATTTTAATGTTCATGCCATTACCATTTTCGTTTCGAAGAATTTTTTAAGTGTTTATTTCACTTATAACAATTCTTAATTTAAGGTTTCATTATTAGTAATAATATGATTTTAAACGATAATATAAAATTCGAGAAAACATAACAAAAAAAAAGAAAAACAACCAGAGAGTGCGTAAACCGAAATTAAATTTATATAAACTTAAATTTAATTTAGAAGCCAGAGCTCTTTAGATAAGAAAGAATTGCAAAAATGATAGGAACGAAACGGGTGTTTAACAAATTAACGGCGAAGGGGGGCTGAATGTTAAGAGAAGAGAGGAAACTAAATAGGAAGAGCCTTTTGTTGCCTAGCTTTATATGTGAATTATAATATATATTTTATAGTTTAATTCTTATTTTGAAAACTACAGAATTTCATTAATGAGATAGTGGCGGAACACATGGGCCAAGATGAATACATGAGTGACCTTAAGTTAAGAGAAGTACTCGCCAAAATAAAAGAGCGAGCCGATTTCGACGGAAGGTTTCCTGAGATTGTAGGACAGTGCATTAGTAATACATTACAAAAGACAGCAAATAGTAAGAAACGATAGAATATTAAATAAATATGTTTAGTAAAATGTTTAAAGACGATTGGAAAAACAATTTAACAAGCATGTGTGTCATTTCTATAACATTTTCGTTAAGAGATCGTATTTGACAAACCTACTAAATTGTTACCTGGTAATTGTAAAACCTACAAGAATATTTTTTAAATTTGAGACACATGATCATTAAAAAAAAAAATCTAAATTTTACTAATATTGTACAATTAAATATTATATTATAGTTCTAAAATTACAATTACGGTTTTCCTATTGTAACGCATTGTTACTCTCAACTCATTTGACTGATTCGGTTGTTTAATAAATATATACTATTTTGTACTTTTCAGACTATAGATTTACATTCAGTGACGTTAAAAACTACGCCCTAGCGTATGTAGCTTCGGGAAATCCGGACGTAATGGTAAATAAATTATAATAACCAACTATAATATTATATTATAGATCAAAGTCTCGTTAGGTTGTTTGTTTGGAGATATTCGAAATATTCAAACTTTCAATTCTTGTATATAGAATAGGTTTAGTTCTTATAACTATAACAAGTAATTAGTATTTATCAACATTTTTATGTTTATGCTGTTATAAAAAAAAAATGTTAAGTATAGTTTAGTAAATTATATTATTTATACATTTTTTTATTTAAAAAAAAAAACTTAAAGGCATATAATATTATATCTTGTACTTAGTTAGTAATTTTTATTTCGCTAAAGAAGAATCAGTTTTATTTGTAAATTGTTATACACTATTTAATGACTAATTATTATTCTTATTAAAATAGGAAATAGTACATAACGCCGTGATTGCTCATGAAAAACCTGATGGCATGGACTATGAAGCATTTAGAAAAGTAATTGAGGACGTAATACGAACATTAGAAGTACAAAAACCAGTACCCAGTTACGATGAATTCAAAGCGGATGTCTTAAGTAATATAATTTAATAAATGTGTTCTTCTAAACAATTTTATGCAAATTTTAACAAATTATTTAAAACTAAATACATTGTTATTCTTAACTCATTTAGCCTGATTCGTTTGTTTAAAAAATGAATAAAATTTTTTGTTTCCAGGTCGCATATTCTCTGTGAACGGAATTGAAAATTTGATCATTGAAACATTATTTCCTTTATAGTTTGAATACAATATTAACTGTTATTAAATCAGTGCATTTATGTAATACATCACATACAGTGTAGTTTTGATTGATTAATAAATTGTTTTGATCTGATTTTGCGTTAGTATTTATTGTATTACTTTAAGTATTATTACCCAAACCCAGCGAATCAGTTCACGGTTCGATTTCTGGCCGTGTGTTTAAGCTTTTTGCATTTTACGACCGATTATTTTTTTAATTAAAAACTAAAATGACCTCTTATCAACAACTATCACTAACAACATTTAACGTTGATTTCGAGTCATTGATTACATTATGTTTATTTAGGCAGATCGCTACATCAAGTAAATAACAAAAAACATATAAATTATTCAATGTTTATTAAAAAAACAATAGTTTAATTAACAAACCAACAGCGTTGTTAGTAAAAATAAAAAAACTGACACGTGGAAAATTGTTTGTACAGATTCCATTAATAAAAATAAAACATAATAATAACAACTATAGTTTAGCGATAAGTTTAGATTTCAACAAGTCAATGTATTTAAAATGTTACCGATACACATTTTAACATTTCAAAAATATTATCATAAAAAAAACCCGTACCACAGACACACAAACTAATTGTTTCTAAACTATTATTCAAATAAAGTTCGTTAAAATAATACTATAGAATCATAATGTGGAAATATTTTAACAGTGTTAGCTTTGATGCTGAGCTCACAAGGTATTGGATATATAATTATATAAACCATGATGTGTTTTTTTTTGTGTGTGTAGATACGATAACTTTTTTTTAGGGATCAAATTACTCGTGTAGCACCTCTATTAGATCCAGAATCGTATGAAGATGGTACCTTGGTGGGTCTAAAGTAGGAAAACTTATTCACACCTGAAACCGGAAATAACCTGAAAAAATTTTATTAGCCTATATTTTAGCGCAATTTTAGGACTTAAGAGCTTAAACTTACACTGAAAATTTGTCGTCAAACTTATATTTTATTAAGAAAAAACACCAAAAATCTCAAAATTTGAATTTTGAATTTTTAATGCTATTTCCGGTTTAGAAACTTAAAATTTTGTATTAATTCTACTATATCAGTACTATATAATTATATATGTAAATTATAAAAAAAACTAGTGTACACGGATATATAATATCTATATATAGTGTGATACCATAATATACAGGGTGATCCAACTAACGTAAGACACTCATTTTCTCTGAAAGTATGAATATTTTGCGAATTTTTTTTTCCCTAAAATTTTAGGTACATATTTAGCTACATTTTTCAATATTTAGAAAAATGTTATCTTCAACCCTTATACGTTAAATAAGTACGAACCTCGTTTTTTCAAATGGGAACATATGTTTTAAATTCCATAAATATAAAGACAAAAAATCTAAAAAAATGTTAGCGTTTGAATTTTTAATTTTCATCCATTTGTTCGCTGTTTATGACTTTGTAAAGATTTGAATTTTTGTCTATATTTCTTAATAATTTCATTCGATTCGACAAAGACAAGTAGTTTTATTACGACGGTCATCACATCAAATATAATAATAATTTGATGTTAACGCATTCCGTATCATAATCAGATATAATAAATAACCACACATTATTAGACGAAAGGTAGACTGTTACGGATAACGGACTTTACACTTTAACCTAATCTAGCTGGAGCTAGTCATTAGCTGGTTATCTCGGATAACAATCTAGTATCTAAACTATGCATCAGTTACCACGGAATAATCGAGTGACCAGCACCCATAATATATTTTATTATTTGTACATAACCTCTGTCGCTAACAAATTTTGACTTCACAGTTCACACATTTTCCATTAGTGAAATGAGAAATTACAAACTTAATTAAAAAATGTTAGTAAATTTACATTTTACTTTATAGTAAATACGATAGCATGCTCATTGTAGTTAAGTCATAACTCGTTATTTTATAGTTTTTGAAATATTTGCATAAATATATCAATTGATAATATTTGCTCTCGACTTTATTTTGACGTTACATTCTTGGACACACCATTAATTTAATAGGTAAGTGTATTAAAGTTTAATAGATAATTTAATACAATACGAATTCAATTAGCTTTTTTATTTTAGGTTGAATGCTTTTTTCCGAAAATCTTTTATCATTTAAAAATCAATGTTATCATGTCAGAAATATCTATGGCGTTGAGAATAGGCTATACCAATTACTATGGAAATGTCTTTTCAATTGGACCCAAGACTGAAGACCTTACAATTTTAAATCAAGGTGTAAATTATAAATATAAAGCATTAATTTAATAGGTAAGTTTATTAGAGTTTAATGGGTAATTTAATTCAATACGATTTCAATTAGCTTTTTTAATTTAGGTTGAATGCTTTTTTACTGAAAATATTTCATCTTTTAAAAACAAATGTTATCATGTAAAATTGGTTTTGAGTATGACATATCAATTGCTATGGAAATGTCTTTCCAATCGGACCCAAGACCTTACAATTATATATCAAGGTGTAAATTATAAGTATAAAACATTTATTTCTAATGTGACATTTTTTCATGTGAATGTATAATATCAACACTAAGCAATTTGAATGAAAAGTGTGTTGTGTTAACTTAAAATAATTATTAATGCATGTATTTGTGTATGTGGGTTGATAATACTCATATACCCGTTTCATTTATTTTTAAAAATATCAGTAATTAATGTATGAATTTCATACTACTACATACAAGGAATCGCTTCTTGATTATACCAATATTTATAATAATATGTAAGTATATTATTTTTATTTGATTAAACTTATCTAAGGTAGTTCAAATGTCTGCTTTCAGTTTAGTTATTTCTTACAATGATATAACCCATATATTGTGTGTCTGACATACATTACGGATATTTTATCATAAAGTTTTAGCTATAACTGACACAGGTATTTGGCTATCACAGTTAAATTTTATATCAAATTTATTAATATACAATAATTCTCTCTTTAAAAAAGTAGTAATTCTATTAATTTGTATTTAATGAATTCAGTAAATCAAGTAAATTATTTTTTTGAACTTGCCTAAGATAATTCTTATAGTTAATTTTATTTATTGAATTTTGATTTTGTTAGATTTGTTTAATTACCAACGATTGTTAAAAGAAAAAAATTTAAATCAGTATTATAGAAGTTGAACAATTTAAAATGTATAGATATTGTTTTTGTTTAATATTTTTGATTGAATATTTTCAAAATAGTAACATTTGTAATTTTTAAATTTATTGTTGTATTAATAATTAGTTTATGAATATTTTATTAGTTAAATACTTATATTATCAGACAAAAGATTATTATTGTTCTTTAAATGTTATACTATACTATATATTTGTCGTTGAAATTTATCAACACAATTGTTTGACTATGTGTTATCAATGTTCAAATTTTGTAAACTACACAGTAAAAATTAATAAAAATTGTTTTTAACTCTTTAAAGTAGGAAAATTGTCGCATACGCATTACAGCAAATATTCTTTTAACCATTATTTGCATCATTAAAGGTAAACAAATTTTATTTTTAACAACTATGCATTATAAGTTAGTATAATTGATTTTATCAATCCGGCGACGGATTGACGACCCGTCCCGGAAGCGAATTCGTCAAGAAACCATCTCATGATGGCAGCGTTGGGCCTTAAAGGCCCGTTAAGCTTGAAAAAAAAAAAAAAAAAATTGATTTTATAATTATTTGTATTCATACATAAATATAGTATACATGTATGTATGTGTATAAAATCAGACAAACTTGTCGCGTACAAATTCCATAAAATTTAAATCCTTAAAAATGTGTTTTATTACAGAATAATTGTTAAATTTAGATACTACAATTTAGCTAAGGCTATTTTTGATTTAATATTGCCACTTTTACATAATCTTAGTAAAACGTACCCGTTATAATAGTTTAATAATGTCAATACTTTAATTTGTATAATAAACAAGGAAATATCAAATAATGGTTTTCTTTTTAAACAACTAAAATCTATTAAGCTTTTAATTTTCTAGATATTAAATAGTGAAGAAAATAATAAAAATAAGAAAATACTGATTATACATAAAATCAAAATGAGCAGATTCAACTGTAAAAGAATTAACTTTTCAGTTTGAAATTTTTGAAACAGACATATTTTATTATAAAGGCTTTAGAATCACTATTATTATAACATTATACACCTTATAGGTTATAATAATAATTAGTAAGTACTAATAAAAAGATTAGAAACATATAAACTATTTAATTTAATAGTTATTAATAAAATAAAAAAGACAAGTTCTGATAATTTAATGTTTGCGTGACACAAACCCTAACTTTATTTCTGAAGTTTGAGTATCACTGTGTGATTTTGTGTAACTGAGTCACAAACTATTGATCCATATTTTTATTAACGGGATCTTAATAAGAAATAACTTGACTTAAAAAAAATGAAATATCAATGATGTTGAAAAATTTACCGTTACAGAAAAATCAAATCTTTTTTGCCAACAGGATGGGGAAAACAGAAAAAAAAGTAAAAGTACTTTGAATCACAGTTTGGAACTACCGGCTTAAGTTAAGTCGATAATTAATACAATTTCAAACTTAACTGTGATTTTGTTGTAGGTTCCTAAAACACTGTTTACAAACATCTAGTCTTTAGACATCTTAATCATTTAAACACAGTCCACTTTATTGCATTATTTTTTATTAATAAAGTTGTTTATATAATAAAAAAAAGTTAGTTATAAATGTAAAATAAGCAACATTTTAAATATTTACTGTAGAATTAAAATAGTAAGCAAATTAAATCCAAAATTCCTTATTTAGTGTAAATTGTTTAAAACAATTATTTGAGCACAGAACATATTTTGAATAAATTGAACATAACTAAACAAATAATAGTAACGCTTCGCGACGCTTGTCCATTCAATGTATGCACTTATGAGATTGTAAGCCAAATTTAAAAAAACTATTGTTTACTACCTATAAAAACTACAAATTATAATTGGGTCCTGAGATTTTCAAAGATATTATTCAAAGAAAGGTCGTTAAAATAATACAATAGAATCATAATGTAGAAATATTTTAATAGTGTTAGCTTTGATGCTGAGCTCACAAGGTATTGAATATATAATTATGTAAACCATGATGTGTTTTTTTTTGTGTGTAGACACGATAACGTTTTCCTGAAGATCAAATTACTCGTGTAGCACTTCTATTTTATCCAGAATCGTATGAAGATAGTACCTTGGTGGGTCTAAAGTAGGAAAACTTATTCACACCTGCAACCGGTAAAACCTTAAAAAAAATTTGCCCGTTTTTCGACTTTCAACTTTAACTTGCTATAACTCAGCGAAAAACGGTCGGTTAGGGACATAATAATTTTCTAGTTGGACTAACTATGTATTTTTCCTGTGTAGTCCTGTACCCCCCCCCCCTCTCACAAGTGCTTGATCATCACTATACCCTGACCCCACTACTAGTATTTCTAATTTTAATATTTTTTTAAAAACTCTTTAAACTCTCATTTTGCTATCAAGCAAATACAATATTTAATTGATGTCTAATCACAAATGTTTTAAGTTTTAGTATGCTCTTTTAGTCATTACACAAACATTGCACTAAAAGATAGCGTGTAAAAAAAATTACACATATACGGTACAAATAATCATTGTCTGTGTTTTTTCAGGTGATTTTACTAAAAATTAAATATATTTTTAAATACCTATATCGGTTTCAAATAAAAGTATTGAAACAACAATGTATGGAAAAAAAATCTAAAATACGATGACTGATTCGAGAATATCGACAACTTATAATTTTGAACTATTTGATTAATTTAACAATATATCAAGCTATGTTGATAGGTGCTCATTTAATATAGCGAAAAAAGAAATTTTTCGAGCTATGATTAGTGAAAACTCTAAAAAGTCGTTTATTTCAAATAATAAATAACGGGCAATTGTAAAATTTTAATCCGTATGATGGATTGACAAATGTTCACTATCTAATAATTGACCTAAAAAGCCAGCTCAGTGAATAAGTCCATGGTTCAGTTCCAAGCCGTGCGTTTAACCTTTTTGCATTTTTTCGAATTATTAACTAAAATAATCTCTTACCTCTATTAATAAAGGTTTATAGGTAGCTGCGGGTTCGATGCTCAACGGGACATAGGTACTATCGCTATTAATATTTATGCATATATTTCATTGGTTTTTTTATTTTTACGGTACAATACTGTAAATCAAACCCATTAGGTAAATGCAACTAAAATATTTAGTCCATCCAACTATAATAATATTTTATAGATGATTTAACTATATATAGTTAACTATATGAATTTAATACTCCCAACTAAATATTTATTGTGTCCTCATATTATTCTCTAGCATCGAATCCGCGGCTACCTACACGCCTATTATGCTAAAGCTAACGCCTAATCCTACAGAGCCCCATTTTTTCGACCAATTATTTTCGAATAATTTAAACTTAAATGATCTTTTATCTCTATTAATAATAGGTTTATAGGTAGCTGTGGATTTGATGTTCAAGAAGACATACTAGCCCCATTAATATTTTTTTTTTGGTTTTGTTTATTTATGCTGTCAAACTATAATATGTAGTTGATCCACCGATCGCTGTGTCCCCATATTATTCTCTAGCATCGAACCCGCGGCTACCTACACGCCTATTATCCTAAAGCCTAATACCTAATCTTACAGAGTCCTGCCTACTTGCTACTGTTGTACGGGATTTGAGATATTTAAGTGATATTGTAAAACATATTATTTTGTACAAATGTATGAAGTAGCGACAGGCGGCTGCGGCCGCTGGCCCCGGCTGTCGCCGTTCGCCTCATGCCACAGTCGCATGTGTCTAAATATAGATATTTAACGAAAAGAGTAGAATTAACCAAACTAAAAATTTAGTTAATCCAACTACTCAAAATCAACTAAATCATAATGTATTACTAACATAATGTAGTTGGCAACCATATAATAGTAGATCTAACTAAAATATTTCCAACAATTTACTAAAACCAAATAATTTTTTCCCGTGTATACACACAACTGTAAAAATAATTTACATTTTTAATAAGTAAAATACCAAAAATTACTTTTAAAACTTAAATTTCCCAATTATCTTTTTAGGATCGATAAGATAAAAAGGCAAACCAATTTATAAATTATTAATTTCAATTTAAAACGACTTCTTTGATTTAATTTTAAAAAATGTAAATATTGTATATGTTCAGTTCCGATGCAGAGCTCAGAAAGTATTTTATTTATAAGTAGGATTTTTATTATTTAATTGTTTTGCGTGTAAATTGTGTGAAATATTCTTTAGATAAGGCACTATCGATGAACGTCGACAATGTATGCATATATTTTCCATACGAGTAAACATTTTTAGAAGTGACGCTAGCAAGTACTACTTAAACAAACGGCAATAGAGTGGGGCATTAAAGATGACACACAACGTTATTAAACATCTGCTGTTTACTGCAAGTCGCAAAACTTAAATCAATAGTTTCAACTTGAAACTATTATCATACCAAAGGCATATTTCCTTATAGACAGTACTACGATCATTTAAAAAGAAAAATTTGAATATTAAATAATCATGTATTTGAAAAATATCATTCTGTTTTTTTGCGTGACGTTTTACTTTTTCCAATGTCAGGGTGTCCCACCAACACCCGAACAAATTGTAAGTATAAAGCAAAATAAAGAAAAGCTAGACAAAACTATTTCTGGTAGTTTGCCGTTTTAATTTTGCTAAATAAGACTTAGTTATATATGTTAATTATAATATACATTTTAATGTTTAATGCTTATTGTAAAAATTGTAGAACACGATAAAGTATGTGGTAGCAAGGTGGTATTTGGTGCAAGAAGACATAGACTTTGAAGACATAAAAACTATATTTTGCGATGTAGCTGGTGCGCTCAACATACCTTATGAGCCCTCCACTCTCGATGAATTGGCAAAAAGTAATAAACAATAGAAAAATATTTAATACATATGTTAATACCATTTTAGAAATATCAAAAGGACATTTAAACAATCAAGTTTGTCATTTTTATAGCAGTAAAAAAAGTTATAAAAAAAATTAAAAAAACGGGACATCTTTTTTGATAATGCACAAAAACAAAATGTATTAATTTTGCTAAAAATGTAGAATTTTATATGAAGTCGTTACTGGTAAATTACAGTAACTTAAAATACAAGTGTTCCGCAATTGTAACACCATAATAATCTCAATTCCTTTGCGGTTAAAAAATATCCCCATAGTTTAGTTGTTTAAAAAATGTATAATACTTTGTACTTTTAGTTGAACTTTCTAGGGACGATGTTGAAATCTTCACCCTAGCGTTTGTAGCTTCAGAACATACGGCCCTATTGGTAAATACAAATTGTAATACTATATTACGGACTAACAGGCTCGTTTAGTTGTTTGTGTGAAGATATAAGAAATATTTAAACTTTCAATTTTATTTAAAAAGTACTTGGTTTTTAAAATTATAAAAAAAATCAGATTTATGCTTTCGTATACAAAGTGTAGGTAAATTATATTTTAGTAAATTATTTCATGTTCTTACCGTTCTCATTTTCGCAGCAAAGTATTTTTTTTAAGTGATTTTTTTCACTTTCAGTAACTTTCAGTAACTTTCTAATTTTTTTTTTTATTATTTCGGATCTCGAATGACACTGTTTTTTTTCTTAAACCAAAAAATATATTTACACTTCCCAACAGAAATACTTTACGGTTTTCTTAGTAAATGATTTTGTTACCGATTTTTTACACATAGTATAAATACTAAATATGGTATGCGTGGCAGTCGTGATACGTGTAGTAACCGTGGTAGGTATGTGGAACATGTAATGTTTGGTAACCATGAAAATTATAATTATTACGCATATTACGGTTACCACTCAACTACAACCACAACTTTTTGATTGAATCAGTATTTTAAAATGGGACAACCGCTATAATATGACTTGTAGTTAGCCATTTATAATAAGCGTGTTTATGAAAAACTCGGTTTATAATGTATACATTTTATGAACAATTTTCTCAGCTTTCTAAAAAAAAAGATTACAATTTTTGGCAACACGACAAAATAAACGTTTTATATCATAAGCTCAAAATATAATAAAAATCGGCAGGCTTATTATGTGTCTGATAATATAGCGTTTTGAAACGTTAAAAAATGCTTAGCTTTATATGTAAATTATAATATAAATTTTAAAGTGTAACTCTTATTCTGAAAAATATAGGATCTCATTAATGAGATAATTGCGGCGCACGTGGACCAAATTCACGACATAAGTCTCCTTAAATTAAGAGTAGTACTTATCAAAATAGAAGAACGAGCCGATTCTCCCACAAGGTTCCCCAGGACTGTACTACACTACATTCTTAATGCGTTAGAAAAGACAGCATATAGTAAGAAACAATAGAAAAATATTTAATAAATATTTTGAGCAAAATGTTTTAAAACTATTGAAAAGACATTTTAAATTGTATGTGTTTCATTTGTATAACTCAAAATAATTACATTTTTGAAGGCTAAGGGATCGTATTTGATGGACCTGAAAAAATGTTAAAAAAAGGGGGACCTTTTTTATTATTGTACCTACAAAACAAATTTTAAGAATATTTGACACATGATCATTTAAAAATAATCTTAATTATACAATATAATCTTATATTGTACAATTATATAATATGTTATAGTTCTAAAATTACAATTAGGGTTTTCCTACTGTAACACATTGTTACTCTCAACTCATTTAGCCTGATTCGTTTGCTTAAAAAATATATATCATTTTTAACCTTTCAGACCGTAAATTTACATTAGACGATGTTCGAAACTACGGCCTAGCGTATGTAGCTTCAGGAAATCCGGACATAATGGTAAATAAAAACTATAATACTATATTACAGATAAAAGGCTGGTTAGGTTGTTTGAGATTTTCAGGATATTCATACATATAATTCTTAGTATAAGTAAAATACATTTAATTCTTATAACTTTAACAAGTACTCTGTACTTAGTATTTACGATGATTAAACAGTTTCATATTTATGCTGTTGTATAAAAAATGTAAATTAAAACTTCAAGGCATATAGTATTATATGTCTTGAAGTAAGTAATATTTGTTAATTGTTTCGCTAAAGAAAGAATCAGTTTTATTTGTAAATTGTTATACACTATTTAATAAATAATTATTATTCTTATTAAAATAGGAAATAGTACATAACGCCATGAGTGCTCATGAAAATACTGATAGCATGGGCTATGAAGCGTTTAAAAATGTAATTGAGGAGGTAAAACAAGGAATAGAAGAGATACAAAAACCAGTCCCCAGTTACGACGAATTCAAAGAGGAAGTTTTAAGTAATAAAACTATGGAATAAAATTCAATAATTGACTGCCCCAACGAAAAAGGTCGTATCTCGTTTTTTCAATTTTTCAGGAAGAACCAAACAAACATTCAAATTTAAATTCTTATTGTGTTTTTAACATATCAGTTTGAAAAACAGAATAATAATTTAAATTTGAATGTTTGTTTGGTTTATCCTGAAAAGTTGCAAAAAACGAGATACGACCCTTTTCGTTGGGGCAGTTGAAATATGTTCTTCTAAACGATTTTTTTTTTAAATTTAAACCAAAATAATTAATATTAAATAAAATATGAAATACATTGTTATTCTCAACTCATTTAGCCCGATTCGTTTGTTAAAAATAATAAATAATATTTTATGCTTTTAGGCCACAAACTTTTTTTGAACGGAATTGAAAATATGATCATTGAAAAATTATTTCCTTTATAGTTTGATTACAATATTAACTGTTATTAAATCACTGTATGTAAGTAATACATAACATACAAGTGTAGTTTTGATTGATTAATAAATTGTTTTGATCTGATTTTGCGTTAGTATTTATTGTATTACTTTAAGTAATATTTTACCCATTGCCAGCGGATCAGTCCACGGTTCGATGTCCGGCCGTGCGTTTAAGCTTTTTGTTTTTTTCGACCGCTCGTTTATCAAAAAACAATGGTTTGTATAACAAACCAACAATATTGTTAGTAAAAATAAAAAAAACTATGGTAGGTATTATGTCGAAAATTAATCGTACAGATTTCATTTATAAAAATGAAACATAATAATAACAATTATAGTTTTATGATAATTTTACATTTCAAAATTTTAATGTTTTAAAAATGTTATGGATACACTTTTTAACATTTCAAAAATATTAATATAAAAAAACCTTATCACGGACACCTAACGTAGCCGGGTCCTAATGGTTTCAAAACTATTATTAAAATAAAGGTTGTTAAAATAATATTATAGAATCATAATGTGGAATTATTTTAACTAGGTATTGGATTTATATACATGAAACTACGATGTGTTTCTTTTTTGTGTGTGTTACGATACATTGCAACACGATTACATTGTCCTGAGAATCCAATTACTCGTGTAGCACCTCTTTTAGATCCAAAATCGTATGAAGATGGTACTTTGGTGGGTCTAAAGTAGGAAAAATTGTTCACAACTGAAACCAGGTAACACCTGAAAAAATTAATTTTTATTAGCGTATATTTTAAGCGCACTTTTTGGACTTAAGAGCTTAAACCTAGACTTAAGATTTGTGGTATAAATTATAAAAAAAAACACAAAAAATCTTAAATTTGAATTTTGAGTGCTATTTTGGGTTTAGAAACTTAAAATATTTTATTAATTCTACTATATCAGTATTATATAACTATACAAATTATAAAAAAAACTATTATAGTATGAACTGAGCTCTATTATAAATTAGCATAGTGGATCAAGGGGTACTTAATTTAAAAGTTGATTATATCACTTTTGACCGCTTCTATGCGAATCTGTATATAGTATAACTATCAGTCTAAATCAATATAGTAAAAATTAGTAGAGTATAAATCAACTTCTGTCTATACGATTATACTAATAAAGTATAAACTAAGTATAATTCAAACCAAAGACATAGTTGACCCCCCCCCCCCCAAGGGCTCGGACACCACAATGCCCTGACACCACTACTGAGTTTTTAAAAACTTTGTTAACTCCCATTTTGCTACCAAGCGGATACAATATTTAATTTATGACTAATCACAAATGTTTTAAGTTCCAATATGCTCTTATAGTCATTAAACAAACATTGCACTAAAATACAACGTGTAAAAATTACACATTTTAAGTTAAACTATTAATGTCTGTGTTTTTACAGGTGATTTTATTAAAAATTAATTATATTTTGTCGGATGGTTGTTCAAATACCCATAGCTGTTTTAAAAGAAAATATCGAATCAACTATACATATGAAAAAAATCTAAAATAGGATGACCGATTCGAGAATATTGACAACTTATGATTTTGGTTTTTGATGTGTGTACTTTTGGGCTATGATTTGTGAAAACTCTAAAAAGCCGTTTATTTCAAATAATAACGGGCAATTTGTAAAATTCTAATCTGTTTAATGGGTCGATGAATGTTCAGCAGTGTGTTAGCGCTCACTGTCGCCGGTTCGACACTCGGTCGCTGGCGCTCCGTTTGCTGGGCGAGCAACCGTCCGGTAAAAAGGAACCGCCATCCCCCTCTCCGGCGACGGATTGACGACCCGTCCCGGAAGCGAATTCGTCAAGAAACCATCTCATGATGGCAGCGTTGGGCCTTCATGGCCCGTTAAGCTGCATGATGATGATTTTTACAGTACAATATTCAATTTTGTAAATCCAATCTTATTATATACCTATAGTAGCATATTTAGTGGCATAAAGTAAATGCAACCAAAATATTTAGTAAATCCAACTATACATAGTTAACTATTTCAATTTAGTACTCCCAACTAAATATTTATTGTGTCCCCATGTTATTCTCTAGCATCGGATCCGGGGCTACCTACACGCCTATAATCCTAAAGCCTAATGCCTAATCTTACAGAGTCCTGCCTACTTGCTACTGTTGTAAGGGATTTGAGATATTTAATTTATATTGTAAGACATACTCTAACCATCGATTATGTAATTGTTTATTACATAGTCAATGGTACAACATATAAGATGCCATCGAAATAATAACGACTAACGAGTCGTCGTCGTCATGCAAACGTGTTGGCCAAAACATAATTAAGGCTATAGTTTCTCGTCATAAATCGCAAAGCGATTACAGATCAAAATTAATCACTATTCAGCATAGCCAGAAGGCATGATCCATGTTTTATAATTTTGCCGTTAGACTTTAAGTAAACTGTAACTTTGTAATTTTGTTTTTTCTTAATAAAACAAAAACATTGTATACTATGTTATAGTCCTATTTTAGATCTACTATCGGTCTAATTTTCAGACTTAAGATCCTGAAACTCAGAGTTGAGTAAATTAATGTGCAAACGTTTTTTACGCTAACATAATATATAACACGTATGGATTATACATTTTTATGCGTGTAAAATACGTATAAAACGAGTCAAAGCTAAAATAGAATTTGAAATGTTTAAACAGAGAAAATATAATTAAGTGCAGTATAAGTAAGTACAGGAGATGTTAGCAAAGTTGGGTCGAAGTAGCAATTGTTACATCTGAATGTGTATTTCATCACAATTAAATCCATCATAAATTATCCGCAGATTCGCATTCATTTAAAGGTGATTTTATTACTACTTATAAATTATCAATCTAGAAGAACTGAGTTATTAACCTAAACTTGTTCTGTATAATATAGCATATCACAGAAGTTCTTATAGATAGGTTAATCTGGCTTAATGATAAGCCAACAAAACAGTAGGCAAGTATAATGTAGTGGAACCACCGTTTTGACAACTATTTTAAAACTATAAAATTTATTTTTTTTGTAAGATATTCGGTTTTAATAAATGCTGATAAAGAGTCTAGCAATTATTTTTGATATTTGTATGTACTTCGTAGCGCATACGTGTTCATTTTTTATTTGTAAGTACGACATTTTTTTTTCTTACAATTTTAACATAAGCCGTTGCATTTTAAAACGTTATAAATCGTAGAACACTTGTATACATAAAACATTTTACAACTTGATTTTTGAAATCGAAAAATACCTGATACATTTGCATATTTTTCCTTTAGTATTAATTCTTATAAGCCTGTGATCCCCCCCCCCCCGCCACCCTGAGGCTACTGAGCTGCCTTTTTTAACTAATTATTATATATATTGTGTTATCTTGTTTTAATTATTTTATATTGTACTATAATTGTAGTTATTTTTTCTTTCTATATGTCATGTTTATCAATTTTATCAATTCGTTATTCATTATGTTATTTTATTGTACTATAATGTACTTGAGCCTACGGGCGTTTATTTAATAAATAAATATATTGAAAATTCGTCAATCCATCAAACAGAATATAAAGAATTTACAATTGTCCGTAATTATTTAAAATGAATGTCTTTTAGAATTTTCAAAATATAAATTCATAGTCTAAAATTGTTTTGTTTACTATAGTGTGAGCACCTATCAACATAGCTTGATATATTGTTAAAAAATGTATAGGTTCTTTTAACAAAATCATAATTTGACAATAGTCTCGAATCAGTCATCCTATTTTAGATTTATTTTACGCAGATGTTTCGATACATTCTTTTTTAACCACTATGGGTATTATTTAAATACGCATCCTACAAAATATATTTAGTTTTAAATAAAAGTAATATAATATTACAATGATAATGTGTATACCATATGTATTAAAATTCGTACGCGGAAAATAAACTTCATAGTTGGGACAAACTCATAGTTGGGAAAAATGATATACAACGCAAATAAAAACGTTCTTAAACATCTGTTGTTTCCTGCGAATCGCAAATCGCAATTTAATAGTTACAACTTTTTGATTCTTTTTTCATTCCTAAGCTATATTTTGCTATAGACGGTACTACGGTTATTGAAACAGAAAACTTTTAATATTCAATAATCATGTATTTAAAAAATATCATACTGTTTTTCTGCGTAACGTTTTATTTTTTCCAATGTCACGGTGACCCACCAACAGATAATCAACTGGTAAGTATAACGATACCTCATTGTATATGTCTGATCTATAATGCTGAAATTCTTGCTTAACTATATAAAAAACGTAATATTTTGTTTAAATACTCAATTAAATGTACATACTATAAACATTTTCGATTCGAAGAGTTTTTTTAAGTGAATTTTTTCACTTTCAGTTATTTTTTTGAAATTGGTGTTATTATGTAAAAAAATGCGAAACAAAAATATTTTTGGTAGTTTGGCGTTTTAGTTTTCCGAAAGACGGCTCAGTTTTATGTGTAAATTACAATATACATTTTAATGTTTTATTTTTATTGTGAAAATTATAGGACACGATTAGATGGTCGGTAGGATCGTGGTATTTGGTGCAAGATGGCATAGACTTTGAAAAAGTAAAAACTATATTTCGCGAAGTAGCAGGTGCGCTCGACATACCTTTTGAGCCTTCCATTCTTGATGATTTCGAAAAAAGTAATAAATAATAAAAAAATATTTTAATAAATATGTTAAATAAAAATGTTTAAGTATTGATAAGACATTTTAAATAATCAAGTTTGTCGTTTTTATAACAGTAAATTAATTAATATTTTTAAACTAATAAATCAAAACTCGTGAACCAAAAAAAAAAAAAAAATTAAAAAACGTGAAAATGTGATACATGTTTTCTTTTTTCTATTAATTTTATAAAGATTGTAGAATTTATAATGACGTCGTTTTTCTTAAATTATTACAATAACCTCAATTCAAAAATAATTCACAATTCCTTTGTGGTTAAAAAAAATTCCCATAGTTTAGTTGTTTAAAAAATGTATAATACTTTGTACTTATAGTTGAATATTCAAGGGACGATGTTGAAATCTTCACTCTAGCGTTTATAGCTTCTGAACATGCAGACCTATTGGTAAATATAAATTATAATACTATATTACAGAGTATCGCGGTAAGTTGTTTGAGTGGAGATACTAGAAATTTGTTTTTATATATACAGCACACATATGCACAAGTGTCGAAATTCTATGTTAAATCCCATTTAAACTTCAATCCTAAAAATCGATTTTCTAAGGACCACCTTAATCTATAATATACAGTATAGGTCAAAAGTTTGAATACACACGAGAAAATTGCAGATTTTTTAGTCACTTTATTTATTTTACCAAATTACTTTGTTTATATAGCTATTACGGTGTGTACATCATTTTATGATGATTCTTAATATATTTTTTTATAGAAATAAAAAAAAAAACAAGAAAATATTACTCAAAAAATACTTGCTCAATCGCTATGGCAACAACTATTATATTGGCAATAACTTTAACTAACCAGATTTAAGGTAATGTTGTGCCATAGGTAACACCATTGATGAAATCGGTATTTGTCAAACTATTTAAAAAAAAGTGGTTAATGTATTTAAATGTTGAAACTTGTCGAAAAAATACCAAAAACTGCATCGAAATCATTAAAGCAATAGAAGGTTTTAACCCCCACTTTTAAAAAAATCAGTATGAATGACTTTTCTAAAAAAACTATTGTTTTCAAGTGTATATTTAAACTTTTGGCCTGTACTGTATACATATATATATAATTTAGAAAATGTATTTAATGTTCATACCATCACCAATTTTTTTTCGAAGAGTTTTTTTGTCACTTATAAACAATTTTTAAAAACAATAATAATAATGCTTTAACTATTTTTAAATTGATGTTATTCGGCAGGCTTATTATGCGTCTGATAGTTTGGCGTTTTGTCACGCTAAATAATGCTTAGTTTTATAAGTGAATTTATAATATACATTTTTAAGTAAATTCTTATTCTGACAACTATAGAATCTCATTAATGAGATAATAGCGCCACACGTACGTATGGCGCCATACGAAGACATAATAACTCTACATGAATTAAATGAAGTACTCATCAAAATAGGACATCGAGCCGATTCTAACGAAAGATTCCCCGGGACTATAGTACAGTGCATTCGTAATGCATTGGAAAAGACAGCATTTAGTAAGAAACAATAGAAAAATATTTAATACATATTATTTTCAGTAAAATGTAAAAAAAGGATTGGAAAGACATTTTAAATTGCATGTGTTTCATTTGTATAACTTTAAATAATTACATTTTTGTAGAACAAGAGATCTTATTTGATGAACCTGATGAAATTTCGAGAAAATGGGGGGATCTTTTTTTAATGATGTACCTTTATTTTAAAAGAATCTTAATTTTACTCATATTGTACTATTAAATATTAAATTATAATTCTAAATTTACAATTAAGTTTTTCCTATTGTTACACATTGTTACTCTAAACTCATTTGGCTTGATTCGTTTGTTTAATAAATATATATCATTTTGCGCCTTTCAGACCGTACATTTACATTAGACGATGTTCGAAACTATGGCCTAGCGTATGTAGCTTCAGGAAATCCGGACATAATGGTAAATAAAAACTATAATACTATATTACAGATAAATGGCTGGTTAGGTTGTTTGAGATTTTCAGGATATTCATACATATAATTCTTAGTATAAGTAAAATACATTTAATTCTTATAACTTTAACAAGTACTCTGTACTTAGTATTTACGTACATTTACATCCGACGAGGTTAAAAACTACGCCCTAGCGTATGTAGCTTCGGGAAATCCGGACGTAATGGTAAATAAATTATAATAACCAACTATAATATTATATTATAGATCAAAGTCTCGTTTGATTATTTGTGTGGAGGTATTCGAAATATTCAAACTTTTAATTCTTGTATATAGAATAGGTTTAGTTTTTATAACTATAACAAGTAATTAGTATTTATAAACATTTGTATGTTTATGCTGTTATAAAAAAAAAATGTTAAGTATAGTTTAGTAAATTAATTTTATTTATACATTTTTTTATTAAAAAAAAAAAACTTCAAGGCATATAATATTATATCTTGTACTTAGTTAGTAATTTTTATTTCGCTAAAGAAGAATCAGTTTTATTTGTAAATTGTTATACACTATTTAATGACTAATTATTATTCTTATTAAAATAGGAAATAGTACATAACGCCATGAGTACTCATGAAAATACTGATAGCATGGACTATGTAGCGTTTAAAAATGTAATCGAGGTCGTAAAACGGGGAATAGAAGAGATACAAAAACCAGTCCCCAGTTACGACGAATTCAGAGCGATTGTTTTAAGTAATAAAACTATAGAATTAAATTCAATAAAAGTGTTTTACAAAATATTTAATATTAAATATTAAACATTAAACACATTGTTATTCTCAACTCATTTAGCCCGATTCGTTTGTTAAAAATAATGAATAATATTTTATGCTTTCAGGCCGCAAATTTTCTGCGAACGGAATTGAAAATTTTATTATTGAAAAATTATTTCCTTTATAGTTTGATTACAATATTAACTGTTATTAAGTCAGTGCATTTATGTAATACATCACATACAAGTGTAGTTTTGATTGATTAATAAATTGTTTTGATCTGACTTTGCGTTAGTATTTATTGTATACAAAAATCTAAAATAGGATGATTCGAGAATTTTGTCAACTTACGATTTTGTTCTTTGTATAGTTTAACAAAAAATCAAGCTATGTTGACACTATAGTGAGCAAAAAAATGTATGGGCTATGTATTTATATTTTGAAAAATTCTAAAAAGACATGATTTTTAAAAAATTACGGACAATTGTAAATTTTTAATTGGTTTGGTCGATTGATGAATGTTCAATATCTAATAATTAACCTAAAAAGCCAGCTCACAATCAGTGGCGTCGGGGCAATGGCGTACCGTTAAATTTCTCAATTTGTACAAATTAGCTTAAATATTTTAAAATGTAGCAAACCGAATGTTTTTTATTCACACTAATTATCTCAAAATAATCATTATTTTGGATTTATCTACCCTGAAAAACAAAAAAACATTATTGTGAATAAATTATCATTGGCCATTGCCATTGAAATAATTTTCTTCGTCAAGTGTAAATTCTAAAAATTAGGTTGACAATATCTATGCGTCACACATAAAATTTTAGAATTTTCGCACAAAGATATTCCAATCTAATTTTTTTCACCTTCTGTTAAAATGAAACCGAGAGTATTAAATTTTTAATAAAATAACGTGTAAAAATGACATAAGTACAATGATTTTAATGTGTGCCGTATCTGTAATTTGTACACATTTTTTAGTAAAAATTTAATATATTTTGTTTTATGACTATGCCGTATACTTACTGACATTTTAAACATTGATATAGTTTTTCAACTATAGTACAAAAATGTATCGATTTCAATTATTTCTACATAATAATATTATCTATATTTGTAGACCGGCACCGAAGTTATGTATTTATGTAAATGTAAACGCTATTTTATGTTTGCAAATCCGTTACACGGTGTTACAGTATAATAATGTACTTTATGAGTATTTTGTCGGTCGCTCTGGCGGATGATTGTATTTTTCTTGCTGATAGAAAATATGGAAATGGAAAAAATAGTTCACACGAAGGAAAAAAAATTCTAGCAAGCGTGAGAATCGTTTATAGGGACGACGATGGGCTCTTGATCCCCGGAACATATTATGTACCTTTTGACGCTAATACAATAACATTATGTAACGGGTGGAAAATCGTATATAAAAGTTTATTATAACATTATATCTTTTTATACACATATTACAAGGGTTTAATCCAATTTGCTAGCGAACGAGCAGTGAGACCGCCGCCCTCCCACAAACACACACACGTGGTTATAAGTGTGTATAAATGAACCAAGTACCATAAGGTTAGACGAGTGGAAAATATGTTTTTTTTTTTTATATATTGAATGTTACAAACGAACGGCACGCGTCGTGTGTATATTGTAATTGCTTTCAAGAGGCTCTTGAGCTCACAATATAATATTTTTGCCAGCGGCCGTTATATGTAGTACCTACTTACGTCCCCTGCTCGATACTAACGCAAAATCAACTGGAAACCATGTATAGACCCTCCGTGGTCAACCGATGTTGTTTCCAACGTCTACTAATGTGACCATTTAAAAAAAACAGCAACAATTCGACCATCCCTTCCCCTCAGCTTAGCGCTTAAGTTTTTTTCTCAAGCGGCGAAAAAGGAGAAAATAAAATTAAAAAACCTTTTAATAGTTCGGACTCATGGGCCGCACAGTGGTCTGATAATGAAATTTAAGTGACAAAAATGGGCTATTAAAAATGTTTAAAAAAATCAATTTTTCAGAATCTCACTAGTATGGCCGGTAGTAGTCTTACCGGGTGATTGGTTAACCCAATCAATAACTTAGAAGATATTAAACTTTTGTTAATTAATTTTTTTTATAGTACTTTTATAGTTATTAGTTAAGACAAATTTAATATATTTTTAAAAAATACAACCTCATCCCTTATACGTCAAAACCGTCTCAACTTAAGTTTTCTTAAACAGTAACTACGTACCTATATATCTTGTTAATTTTTTGAATTAATAAGATAACATTTTGACGGGTCAATGACTAATTTTGGGTAATTGTTTTCAAAGTTCATAAGTTTAAAATTTAGGACGGGAGGAAGGGGAGGGAGAGTAGAGATATTTTTATCTGCGCGCATTACTCGACCGACATCCTCTCAAATTTTTTTTTAAATTTGTACAGTTCAACTTCTAGTATACTAAAACTGCTCGGCTCCTTAGAAAAGCGTATCTCTACCGTAATGTTATAACGACTTGACATTTGTTGTATGATTTGGAAACAATAAAGGTATATATATATATTGTTATCAATTTGGATTCATTTTTTTGTTTTAGTCTTACTAAAACAAAATGCCTGTATTTTTTTTTTTTTTTTAATAAAATAGGTTATCCGTCGCCTTCTTAAAAACAATTTTCAACACTATTTTTTCAAATTAGGTACTACATTAAATACGCATGACGGATATTTTCGAATTTCGAAGAGCTCTTTCATTGTCACGAGATATTATTTATTTCGAATCGAATGCGGGCGTCGGGTTCGCCCGTTGTTGTATATTTCCGGCGTTACGGGGGGGGGGGCGGTTATTTTCGAATGACAATGACCGTTTTCGGTTGGCATAAAACAGCAATGCGGTAGACGAAATAGGGGAAGAATGCGCAGGAGAAAAAGATATTGTGTGTGATGTATACGAGTGGCGAATTGCTAATTGTCCCTGGAGAACCGTCGCGGCGCTGCCGTTGTCGCCGACGGGGTAGGCAGCGCTCGCACTGATTACAGTTGGTGTCACCTCGTTTGTTTTCCACCGCCAGCACTTTGATCAAATAATGTATACAATGCCGTTTTGCGGTTCACCGACCCGAAAAATTGCTTCTGTCGTCATCACCTGCTGGCAATACATACATACATACACAGCGACCGTATATACCGCATACACTGTATTGGTCGGACCGCGCTATATTATTATGTATAAGACGCGATACCGGTGTAAACTTTTCCCGTGCAAAACACAATTGGAAAATGTAATTGGAAATGTTACTCGGCTTATCCACGTCGTCGTGGCCGCGCCCAAAACTAACCAAAGACCAAAAACCACGGCGCCTTCCATAAAAATAATAATCTTTGGCATGCACAACGCGTTCTGTTCTCCATTGCCCGGTCCGTGATCCGAAAACGACGGACGGTATTATTATTATTATTATACGGTGGTCGACCTAACGGATTGCAACCGACCGAAATCGCCTTAAACATCCATTGCGACTTTTCCGCAGAACTTGCACTCCTTTGACACGGTATTGTATCGAAAAGGAAAACGGATAAAAACCGCATACGCCAAGCCAGACACAATATATAGATTAAAACAGCTGCTGTCCGTCCAGCACTAACTACTTATAATTTATTCCGTCGGCGTTTTTCGAATACATAACAAAATATCTTAAAAATATTTTTGCAAAGGGACTGGAACCGAATAATTAAAGTATCTCCAAAAACCGAAATTCATTATATTTTGAAAGACCCCAAAGGAACCGGAACCCTCAGGCCTTTAAAGGTAAAAAACAAATATCGGGTTTTCATTTATAATGTATGAATACGTTTTTAATATAATAAGGGCAACAGTAAGTACTAATTAATAGATTATAAATACATACACAGAAAAAACACATAGTTGGTCCAAAAAAAGTTATGGTTAATGTAAGGGACACAATAAATGTTGGAATAACTAAATAAATAGTTGGGCCAAATATTTATTTAGTTATTCCAACTAAAAATGTATCATGTCCATATATTAACCATAATTTTGGTTGGACCAACTACATATTTTTTCCCGTGTAAAATATAATAAAATAATATGTTACGGTTACTATTTTTAATCTTTCACTAGGAATTTTAAATGTAAAAAATTGTTGATTATTATTTAAATCTAAATTGATGTATAGGGCGCAGGTAGTAAATAATTGTTATTACCCGTCATGAACTTCATAGACCTTCATCGCGATTGCAAATGTAATTGATTTCCACGTATTATAAAGCACGCTGATCGATTAGATCATAATCAGTTCTAAGGCTGTGGTTGTTTTAGGTACACTTCAATAATTAGATTACCTACATTTCGTCGAAATGCTCATCGTCATTACTCATTCGACGGACGGATATTCCATTTGGTCGGTGTATCTCGGATGGCTTATGACCAGAAGTCGTGTAGTATACCGACTATCCACGAATCGAAGTTATGGCGATTTCATCAACACGTCATGTCAGTCACAAACCTAATGTACAAGTTCCTAATTCTCACGATCTCGTTACCGCTAACTTTGACTGGACTGCATTACTATTATAGGTATACATGTTTGATATGACATGAATACTGTTAAAGTAAAAGTTCAAGCCCTGGTTAAAGCGTCAGACCAAAATTACATACGTTTTTCAATAGATAATATATCATCGCGATAGTGTACCACTTTTTCGGGTTTTCTCACACGAACGGGATGTCATTTTTAGTAAGTGCTTCTTTTCTTATTCCTTTAAATACCCAAGTACCCCTAAGTAACCGCAATAGCTGTGCGTTTTTTTTTTCTACGCACAAAGAATTTTCAGGTACTGTGCACGTAGGTATGCGCACGTGCGTTTGTATGGTATACCACTTAACGCGTAAAGCATTGTAATTGATGTGATATTTTTGTTGTTGACCGGTCCACGGCATAAGAGAAATCACAATAATAATAACAAGTGGCACCGGATTGAACTCGACAATCTGTCGGACGACCGGTGCTCTGTGATGAATGACCGCCGCACGTTTCGCTCCATTAACCATATTGGCGGTGGTAAATTTTTAAACCGGCCGCGTTTTATGTAAACGCCATCCCCTTCTTCGGCGGTATAACAACAGCTATAATATAATACCGCTAACCGACCTTCTGTTAGCCTCGACGACGACCACCATCACCACCACCACCACCACCCCCGGTTTGTGTATGTGTGTATGTATGTGTATATATTATACATTATTATATAACGGTAATAATAACACAGT